TTGATGATGAACTTCTGCAACCGTACACAAAGCACATAGACAGCGAATGTCTGATGATGCAACTGTTGTTGGTTTTTTATTCTAATAAGCATCGGTTCTGTCTTTGCCGTCAAATTGAAGAAACAGTAAGGAGACACTCGATGGCGTGTGGTCCTCGATAACGAGCCACAGAGAACTCGAAGAGGAAGTTGGCGGTACAGGAAGGAAACTCGAAAACATGGACAAGGAAGGAAAGAAAGTCGAGAAGAAGAGGCCACACGAGTCGAGACCACTTGTTTCTCGCGCTGTCTCACTAATCCAGAAAGCTCGACGAGTTCGTGCCCGGCACTGTAAAGCAGAAGAACGTTGTGTCTTCGAGGCTGCGAGGCTTCTTCAGTGGAGCACGTCGTAGCTTTCCTGGGCCAGCTTCTGACCGCCCTCGGTCAAAAGCTCTTGCTGAAGACAATTCGTTTCCACTTGCCGTATCGTTTCTCGCCATCGAAAGAAAGAGGGAGAGAAGCAACTGCGCTCAGATAAATCCACGATACCAATTTGTGCCCCCACCTCCCACTTGCCTCCTTCAGGCTGATTTTGGCACAAAACTCACGTACCACGATAAACCGACGTGCCGATCGGGACAAAGGCTTGGAATGCTGCGTTTTCTTCAGCATCTACAATCTTTTCGACGACATTACATTGTTCTACGATCTTCTAGACAAACCTACCCGAACATGGAAAACAAATATTGAAACATTTCGAGATAAGCCTCGGAACAAAAAGGTAGACGATTTCACATAGCATGAGTTTGATCTGGAACGGAATACCTAAAAATTAGAGAATCCTAACATTGCCGCCTATTGACAGTGAATGCAATCAGTTTGCATTTGTCATTAGCTTTAACTAGTGAGTGTGTGCAAAGATTGTAAAGAAGCAGGTGTTTGCAAAACAACATTGAAGAAAGACATGCAGCCCGAGTTTTTTCACGGGAGTTTTAATAAGATAAGTGCATCAACTTTTTTTCTTCGTGATTATCTTCCTTTAACGTAAAATTTCTGAAAACTCGAACATTGATGATTTTTTTCACATGGAATACCTCAAGGAATTCATATTCAACGAAACATTTCATATTAAAGACTTCAGTAAAAGTTATCGTATCATCTCAATAACCGCGTTCAATGGCGCAATGGAAACGGCACATTATAATTGCAATTATTCAGAATATGATCTTTACATTTTTTAATTTAAGCTTTTCCGTTGATATTATGTAACATGATTTAAAATTTCTTTTTCAGTTTTTTCTCTATGAATTATCCGATTATATTGAATTCATATATTGATTTACCGATAATTCCCGCGGCATTTAACGTTCTAGTATGTACTTACATGATACTGGTTGCAGAACGTATCGAAGATTTATTTAATTTATATAAATGGCATTATGAATAAAATTCAGTATTTGAATATTTTATCAAACATACAACTCATACTGTAAAACAGTGGTTATTATTAGGCTGTAAATATGCGCAGAATATAATTTTATTTTTAATATTTTACACATTTTTGGTAAACATGTATTTTAATATATTTTCATATATCATATACTTATACAGAAATATTCACAGTCTTGTTATGTAACACGACTGTGCTCACTGATAACACCTCCGCAAAATTGTGACGTCAATCCTATGGAACATGTATGAATAGAAACGACAAGAGGCAAATAAATATGAAAATTCATTCAAGAAATACCTTAAAAGAAAAGCTTCTGATGATTTGGAACAATCGGACAAGATTAATCTACTCGTGTAATATGTATAAAGCTGTTTAAACAGTATGGGCCTACAACATATTGATTATTAACAATCACATATAATATTTTATACTGATGGTATGGGTACAAATACCTTTACCTATATCAGTATTTTTGTCCAACTAAACTGACTCTTGTCAGTAAAATTTATATTGAACGGAAGTTTCGTTAATGTAATACACTGAAATTATCTTTTGCTGACTATTACAACATTGAACGTACACTTACTTAGGTCATGAAAATTATCGGATAAATAGTTATAAAAATGTATATTTATATGCACGATATAAAAGCATTTCCACACTCGCCAAATGCGAACTAAATTAAACATGTTTTGAAAAATTAAAATCTACAATTTTGAATGATAATTTAACAAATGTGATAGAACTTAAAAATTACAAGAAGGGTATAATGTTTCATCTTCCTTTATAAAAAAAAAGAAGTTAATTGAATTTGTGCCACAAAGTCTACAGCCTGTCATCAATGCCAAAGGTTATACAACAAAATATCGATATAACTTAACTACCTATATGTTATAATATAATTAATTAGAAGAGCATCGCTCAATCTAGTGTTAGCAAAATGCAAATTACTTTATGATACTTTCAAGTTCTTTCATTGATAATTGATTAAATTATCATATACAAGATGTTCGTGTTAACGTTATGCACAGTTTTTCGGTTATTTAAAACACTGTAATAAAAAAAACTGTTAACCAAAATTTATTAGTTGTTTTATAGTACACCTAGGGTTATTTTGAATTTTTTAACACATTCATTGCCAAATACAAGTTTCAAATTACATTGTTTACGCAAAGTAGCAAGTGGCAAATTTAATTTAATTTTCAACTCAAAAGGTTAAAAAGGATTCGTGAGAAAATTAAAATTCACATAAACTATTTGAATCTACCAAAGATAAAACAGATTATTCGTATAAGCCGGACACAGTACATTAAATAAATTGTTGGGATTTACTCATAGATAAACTAAACGATACATTAAAACAGAACACAAAATAAATGAAAAACAAATTTATCGCAACGCTCTACCTAAATATACATATATTAAATCGTTCACATAACTTTAACAACATAAAAATTTGATCTAGTGAAAATAGTTTATACATAAAATTATTACTGTTGAAACCCCACATTACAAGAATGCTATTAACAATAACACGGATATAAGCACTCTTTATGTGTACTAGTTTTTTAACCTTTCCTAACTGTTATCCGCTATTCGACGTTCCTATATCACTTGATTCGAAATTTAATACCTATTTATTTCTCATACAATAATAAATAGCATAAACTCCCAATGTCAATTTCACTTTAATTCCGTTAGTCAATTGCCAACCAACCTTTAACCATAATTCAATGTTCCACAGGAAAAAGATTTAATTTATTAATTTTTCATTTACTGTCAGTATAAATGTAACTCAATTCAATAAGAACGATATAATAGTCTTTAACATCAGTAGATTTTTATATTGTTTTTAACCTTCAGAATTTTTCCAATAGAGTAAGTTCCTATGTAAAATAATTTGTAACCTTAATGAGGGTCTCCATCAAGGGCCAAAACGGTTATTATATAGTACATAATAAACAGAAACGTCCAACTGAAAGGGGAAAAATGAATAGTTGTCTTTGTTAAGTACCAATCGCTACCACAAAATTTAAATTATTTTTTCCCTAACTTTTTAAAAATGTCGTCCCTGAAGAATATGAAATAAAACTGAAAGAAAAGACATACATACATACATATATAGTTTTCAGCAAACGCTTGCTAAAGCCAACAGATGGCCGAGAAATGGAAATAAATTAATCGGGGTAACGATAACAAATTATTTACATTTTCTTCGGCGTAATCTAGCTTCCAGTTAGAATTGATTGCTCTTCGGCTGATTACGAACAGTACTGTATACATTTGAATTCTGAACAATCAATCGTTGTTCGATACTGTGCAATACAAGAGGACGATGCACGCGATGCCAAACGAAACAAACTGCAAAATGGAGTGCAATTGACGTGACGCAAATCATTGACAAATTTTCGTAACGATCAGCATGATGGTCGAGATAGAAGCGATCTAATAATATCGATACCCGTTTCAACGGTACGCAACACGTAAGTATATGTATACATATGTATGTATGAATGTATGCATGTAAGTATGTATGTGCACGGCGTGCGTGTCATTTGATCGAGCTTCAAGGGCGTCCAAATCGATGGATCGATGCCTTTAACAATGAACGAATCGATATTGAAAGCTGGAGCAACAAAGCCATGCGATACTAGCCACGTTGACTGACTCCAATTGCGAAAGCGTGCAGCAGTCAGTCAAGGTGAGAAGGCCACGCAGCGATGTCAATGTAAACAGTTACTCAGCGGATCATTATACGCCTTACTGACAGATACATTAATAATACCTGCTCCGAACAGAAGGATTAACGGGAAGATTTGTAAAACTGGACATATCAGTGATAAGGAAAAAGGAGGTCTGTTTTCAGGTATTTGTTCAATTGCTCGAAATCGTTCAGCGTTAATTTCAGCAAATAGAGACCGTTTGTTTAACGAAACCAGCTGATGAAGCTCGAGCGGAATTTTCTTCACATCGACTTTTGAAATATACCAAATCGAAACCGAAACCGAAATGTAACAAGATTTTACACAAAGTAAGAGAGAACGAGACGGATAACATCGATTGCATCGTGTTACGAAACACGGACGACGCAATGTTTCCCGATGATCTATTTCAATTTCAACGAGATCATTCAGTTCGTGAGACAATAAGTAAACGAAACTTCGGTTTTATGAATTGACCAGGTTTGCGAAAAAGTACAGAAATGTTAATGACTCGAATTCGCAACGGATAAATTTGATAACTTTTCCACATGTCATATCGTAGTCGATCATTCGATTTCGTGGAAAGAAAACAAACGGTTATTATTTCAACGTTACTTTGCTAGAGTTCGAGCCATGCGTTTGTAACTTGGTCTGTCAACGAATAGGATGCGAAATTTGCGTTAATACATATAACATTCTGTGTGGATAATGTAGAACGTGAGAATCTAACCATCTAGCCGACGAATTCGCTCGCCACCATCGGTAATAAACCACTCTGACATATTGAACACGAACTGACTACAACCGCTAGCTAATCGTTTCTACGGTTACATTGATAGGTAGATGTGTAGTGTATTTGGTACCTACCCGATAGTCATAATCCAAAAGGTGTTTCACACTGAATATCAAAGAGTGATTCTTTCTCACTGACGTTTTCACTGGCGACTGGCACTGTTGATTTTTCTTCACACCGTACGACTCTACTCGTGAACCAACACGTACCGATCGCGCACTGCTCCAGTTTAGCCAAAGGAGATTTCGTCAAGGCACCTCACCACACACGCACTACGGGAATCGCGGTAATTCTATCCTAAGTACGCTTGCGACGAAGAAATTGTAGGTATCCCTTGTCAGATACACGTGCACCAGTCGCCTAGATAAGCTTCTTCGGTCTGCTTCCCGATCCGAGCTTCTGGAGCGAACAGGTGGCCGAACACGAGCGACGAGTCACGCTGTACGAGACACGCGAGTCTTATGAGCTTTGCGAAACCGACGAAAGAGAACACGTACGCGTCGCGACGGTTTGACGTCGACTGAGGAGAGCCGGGTTCGCGGCGTCGCGTCTGCCGCCCCTGCTGCCACACGATCCCCCACCAGTCAGAGATTTGGAGGCGCCACCGACGCTTACCACCCCTCTGGTATCTCGTTCCTTTCGTTTTCTCTGTCCATTCTACTTTACTGCGTCCCAACGCGACGCCCGATCGCGTCGAGTCGCGTCACGGCGTACTGTACCGACTCCTTCGCCTTCTATCCGCTAAGCATCGCGAGCTGACACGCACCCGGTGCTTGACCCTCGTGTGAGAACCCGTCATCTGATGTCCCCGCCGTTGGTTACCAATCATGATTCCTAACTCAACCGGAAATGCTGATCGCAACAAGCCATGCAACTTTTAAGAGCTAATGTCGGTTTGTTCGATGCACCGATCCTCGACACGTCTCAATTGCGATTTGATCGTGACCCGACGCGTACGATTCCATCTGGTAATGGAACGCGTTGATGGGTTAATGTATAGCCGGGAAACGTCACAAAGGATGCAATGAAAGTTTTAGTGGGTGGAAGACACGGTTGGTATAAGGGAATTTTATTGCTTTCTTTTAATATGCATTGTGGTCGTAAACTGAGTTTTTACGTCGCCGAGTATTAACCTATCTTATTTTGTCGGTCTTGGAACGGTTAAACGAATAATGAACACAGATAAAATGGATGTCACTTATGAATTACAAGGGTGTTTTTCTATTACATCAAGCACGTCTAAATGCCTTCTTGCGGGAAGTTACACAGTCTCCGTTATCAGACAGCAGCCTTCATACCCTTACAACTCAACTTGTAACCTGCTTATCCGAAAATGCGTTCGATGTTAAGGAAAAAGCAGCAGAATCAAATTATGCAAGTGTATGGTTTGCATATGGTTTGGAATTATTCCTTTATACGAGTCATTGCCAGTGGAACCGAAAATAAGGATGACATTGCTCGCGAACAATTGCTTGATCACGGCTGTATTACATTGTGATAACGCAAAATTATACGTCAGTATAGAAATTCGTGAGCCCATTATCTGTTTTAATTGAGAAACTTCGGTGCATCCACCAGATTTATCAAATATTACACCATACAACTATCACCTGTTTCATTCATTGAATAACCATTTAAAAATGCGGTTGTAACTGACAATGAGCAAAAATAAAAAATAAATTATTCCTAAACATGTTCCGACAAAAAATTTATATTTATTTATAGCATTGTTGTCTAGAGTACGTATAAAATATACACATATTTTTCGAAAACGAACTGAATGAAACCTAAATCTTGTTCCTTATATGCAAGTGTAAAGCCGTGTTGCAATGTTTATAAAGTAAAAAATATTTATAGTAAAATATAGATCCTCTAGATAGAGATAAATATAAAATTATTGATTAGAATTTTTTCAGAGGAATATCCATTAATATTTATAAATTTAGAATAGGGAAGAAGAGGGCTATCGCGATCGTTCCTAACAAATTATTAATATCTTTATTTTAAATTAATTTCTTTTCAAACTTTTCAACTACAAATAAAGTATAGGATTTTAATTTTAAGTAAAACCATCGAAAACATTACAAAAAATATAAATGTTTAATTAATTGCTTATTAAAAGAAGAAGGTGACAATCGATGTCATCTAATTTATGTAGACTCTGGATGTCAGATTGTGAGTCGCAATAATCAAGGTAGGATCTTGACGAGCGTTATACTTGAATCTTAAGGAATTGGGATTAGAAATCGTTAAAAGAAATACTGTGCGCGTAATTTAAAAAGTAATAAAATGGTTAATTTCATCTGTATTTTTCTTTTGCTTTAACACTAAACGTACCATGGACCGGTCAAATGACCGGTTGTAAACTTTTGATTAGAAAATTCGCATAAAATGTTATCGCTTTTTCACATTTCACTTCATGACTTTTTCTATTAAATATATACTATTAATTTTACATCATTTATTTATATTTTTATTTGTTAAATCCGATAAACACGCGTAACCTAATTCCAGAATTCTAAAATTTCGAATAAAATTTCGGAAGTTTCAAAATTTTCGTGGAATCTGGCCCACCTTAGGAAAAGATCCCAGTCACGTCAATGACTTTTCGCGTTAAATGCAAGCTGTTGATCAATGACACAAGGCTTGAAGTTATTTTTTGATTCTAATATAATAATTAGTCATTAAAACATTTATGTATAGGCATTATAGATATTTTATGTACGTAAAATGTAAATATGCATCTACTACGTGTATGCCAGATAGTCGTTCACGAAACATATAGTAAATGTCCGTAACACTGAAAGGATTAGAGACATAGTCAAATTTTTGTAATAGAATTACACATTTTTTACACATTTTTTCTTACTCTTGATTCGATTGCCATTCTTTATTGAGGAATATATGAAAATCATTTATTATTGTTGAATTATTATTAAGGTTAAGATACATAGTAAAATATATTAAGTAAAAGCAAAAATGTCTAACGTTTGTAGAAACATATTTGAAACAAAGGTGATAGGAGGACAACCAGCTGTGTCTGGGTTTTGTCACTCAAAGTCAAAAGACTTCATCGCCAGGCAGGGCAATAAACAGTTTTGAAAAGAAAAGCGGATCCCAACTTTCTTTTGGGTGTTCAAATCAGTCTCATTCTAGTTGTTCGAAGAGTAAAGACGTGTTTTTCCGAGTCTTTTTCTGCATATAAAATCAGAAACGAATGATAATATAATAAAAGGAATTTAAAAATTGACTGGAAAAGAAAAGAACTGCTTAAAACACTGTATTGTAAACCACCTTAAATTGAAATATGCAATAGAATTGTAAAAAAAAAAAAAGCAGGAAAGAAGATGTAGAAAAGAAAGTGGGAATATGGACCACTTTTTTTGTTTGGAAGAAAACATAAAAAATGTAAAAATCCCATTGTCGAAAGATGAAAATGATAACTTATAGACCTAAAATAATGTATCAGTAGCTGCTTAATTTAAAGCTGTACGATTTTTACGAAATGTTGTCAAAAACGTAGTTTGAGAAAGTGGGGTGGTAATATTACTTTTCAAAGGTTTTGTATTTTAAAATTAGAAAAAGTTCTTTTTCACTTCTGTAGTAATTACATATGAATACGCCGGTATTCCTCGGATAACCCCAAAGGTTGTAAGGGTACCGGCGGCCCACATGGGAGACGGGTTTTAGTGGGTAGGGTGCCACCCGGAATTTTTTTGCGGGGGTGGTACGAGTCCCACACTGCCCGGGCGCCTCCTATCCGAATAGTGTGACAGGGCCAACCCAGTATTTCCCCTCCGGCATTGCAAAATAAAAGTAATTACATATGAAATTTTAAAATTATTTAGGCACCAGAAATTAAAAAATTTGAAAACCAGAACTAATAAGAAATAAATAATCGATTACTGAAATTTAAGATAAATTTGACTTAAAAATGGCAGTACTCCCGCCTTCTTTTAAAATAATTTAAAAATCTCAGAACGAGAAAGATATTTCCAAATAACTAAACAAAGTATTTTGAAGTTCACTCTTTTATCTAATTATACCTCTATTATTGACATATTACATTTATCAATTAATATGAAAAAGATATCGTTGACTAATTTTACCTTGAATAACTTTTCAGATGGATAAAAACAGACAATTTTACATTTTAATTGAAGCAAACATGCAAAATCATACCAACTTTACCGGTGGGGTCTAGAAGACACTAATTGTTTGCATTTCAGTTTTCGAAAACTCACAAACAATTATCTGGTAAATAAGGGGGAAGGGGAAAAAGTTCTTTGGTCCATATTCCTCAAATAAAAGAAAGACGTTTCTCGTCAAGGGATTGGGTATTAGACTCGTCAGTGAAGCTGATGACACATTATTGTTACCTCAAACGCCTACAATTTACGATAGCAGCTTTTGGAAATTTACATTTAATATGAATCGCATACCGGTTGACCGTCAGTGAAAAACAAACACCAGTCTCGTAGACACCTGGCGGCGCGCCGGCCTGAACTTAATGTGTCCAGAGAGACGAACACACCTCTCTCTTCCTCTAGCTGCTTATATTCCCACCTTTTTTCCTATGTTATTAGAAGATCCAAAGAGCATATCCAAAACCTGCCTACACATAATTTTTAATTCGTAATTCGTAATTTGTCTTTCTTGATTGAAACAATACCATAAGATTCTCATTTTTAATATAAGAAAGCAAGTTTCTGACACTATTTACAATCAGTGCTTTTGACTCCTGTTCACAATCAGTTACCTAATGTCATAGTAATTGAGACAATGATCGAACAATCTGTTCCCAAATAATCGCAGATATTTAGACAAAAGAAAAATCGGTGGTATAATACCTTTGTTTTGCACCTATGCACAGTGGGGGGTCTGTTCAATGCGCGCGAATATGTGTAATTAAACGATAGTATTCGTACGCTTCAAATGATAAAACTTAATATTACTCGAATGTTTGTGGGTGGGTGTAGAGGAGAAGGAAAAGGCATTTTTTTCGTCTCGGGATCGTCTGTCAGACTCGTCATTGTGGGGCTGACAACAGACGATCCCTGCCCCAGACACTTATCGTACCGCACATTCGTATGTACATTCGAACGGCGTGCCAGTCGAGCGCTTGCGAGAAACTGATCTCTCGCCGCCATCTAGCGGTCCCCGGCCCGAACTCAAGATGTCCGGGGAGACGAAACCCTCTCCCCTCCACTAAACGCTTCCAACAGTGGTGTAAAAATAAAGAGAAATACAGCGAATATCTTTGAATTTCGTTTTACTTTAAAAAGAACTATTCTATGTGTATACAAGGAGGTGTATATTGAACAACTGATTTCCTTAAAAACTGCTTTTTGGCCAAGGCGTCAAAACTAGCTAGAATTTTGCGTAGGGGGTGAAAATGAAGAGAATGGATTGGAGTACCAGAAAAAACGGGCAGGTACAAGCTAAATTTTGGCATACACTGAAGAGTAATAAACGACCTAGACCTTATTAACCATGATAAAGTGGTACTCTAACAATTTATCGAATTAACTTAAATTACTTTACAACGATATATGTATTCGTAAAATTGTCCTTTGACTGATTTGTCACAATGATCGTCTCGGATAGGAAATATTCAGCTT